GCGTACACCTCGGCCTCACAGCTGGAATCGGCGACAGACGACGCCCGAGTCGACCGCCACGAAACGGCACCTGCCTCGAGGCTAAAGGAGTACCCCTGTGTAGACCGGCGCGTCTCCGCGTCGTCGGCCCACGACGAGTCTGAGTAACCTGTAAGTGTAACTGGCTGCTTCCCTCCAAGGACAAGTCCCATGCCTGATGTACTCGCCACATACTTCGCCACCTCTTAGCCACGTACCAGTGGGAAGGTCGGTGTCTCCCAGGCGCAACAAAGCGCGCAAGGACGCTAAGAGGGTAAGCTAGGTCTGGGCGAGTGCAGGTCATCAAGTACAGACAACCCACCAGCTCAAGATATGGACCGCTGGACTCAAATGGCTCGTCCGAAGGTGGAGCCGTGAGCCCATGATCCACACCAAGAGGGGTGAGCTGTACCTTGGAGAACGGGAAGCGAAACCGCTTCAGGATCTGCTCGACCATATGCAACTTTGTCAGCGTAATGGTGCGAGCTGCCCTGTCCCTGGTGATCTGCAGGCCAAGGTAGTGATGCAGCTCACCAAGGTCAGTGCAAATGTGTCTCCTCAGCAGTTCCTCCTTCACGGAGGCCAGCGTGTGTCGGTCGGGAGTGGCGAACACTAGGTCGTCGACGTAGACCAGGACAAAGAATGGGGTCAAGCCACAGCGAACGAACAGTGACGGGTCAGCAGACGACGGAAAGAAGTCAAGAGCTACAAGGGTCGAGTGAAGTGTGTCGTGCCACTGACGTGGAGCCTGACGCAGGCCGTAGACTGGTCGATGCAGTTGCCACTAGGTCCCAGGTGGGAAAGAGCCAGTGAAGCCAGGCGGGCGACGCAGCCAAATCTGCTCGTGCAGGCTCCCCTGAAGGAACGCGGTGGAAAAGTCCAAGGAGTGCAACTCGTAGTTGCGCTGGGCTGCAATATGCAGCAACACCCGAAGGGTACTCATCTTCGGCGTGGGAGCGAAGGTCTGGAAGAAGTCCACCCCCTCTCGCTGATTGAAGCCTCTCGCCACATAGCGCGCCTTGAACACAGGTGGTGATCCAGGCGGCCGCTTCACCTTGTAGAGCCATCGGCCATTGACGACGTTCGTCCCAGGTGGTGGGACTGCGTCGACGTAAGTGCCTGTGGACCTATAAGATGCCATCTCTGCCTCCTCAGCTGCTATCCAGTACGAAGCCCAGGGTCCCGAGACCGCCTCGGCGTGAGTGCGAGGGATTGGGATGTCAAGGGCGTCTGGATCCCCCTCAGGGGCAAGTAGCATGGCGCAGAGATGAGGAACAGCGGCCGCAAGGAAACCAAGCTCGAACTGCCTGTCCTCGAGGACCTCCAAGGGAAAGACAGGAGCACCCCCAGAGAACGGAGAACGAGCAGGGCCACTCACCAAGTCAGCGGCGTAGTCAAGGCGGTGGGAAGAGGCAAAGCCAGCGACAGTGGTAACAAGTGCCGAGACAGACGACAGGGGTGCAGTCGGGTGAGTGACCAACACGGACAAAACACGGGAGACGACAGGACGGGAGGCACGAAAGTAGTCGGACAACGGGTCGTGAAGCCCAGTGAGGGACGACTCAGGAGGCTATGGAAGGACAGGAGGAGGTGGAACACTAACGAAGGGCCGCGTGGCCCGCTAACAAACAGCCGCGACGGATGACGGGCGACGTGTAAAAAAAGGGAAATGGCCGCGATCGACGGGGGGAAACGGGCGACTGGCGACGGCGGGGGGGGGGGGGGGGGGGGGGGGGGGGGGGGGGGGTCTACAGGCGACGGGGCTAAGGTAAGCGCGCTACGGGCGGTGTAGGACGGGGCGCGACTAGGTGGGCCCATGATAGTCGAGTGATTTTTTCTAAGGGGAAAATCTCGCTAGGGTTAACCTAGCTCTATACCATGTCACAATGTAAAAATTGACTAAAATCAGAAAGTACAAACAAGATATATGCAAAACCTAACCCTAGTGCAAGTACAAAATAACACAAGGGACAACACCTAGACTAGAACTACACAAGCTATAGAAATATAGTTTGACACGGGCGCGGGCCCTCGAGGGCGCCTCGACGGGCGACGGGAGGGGCTGCGCGCGTGCCCCCAGGGCGCCTTGACAGGCGACGGGAGGAGGGCAACGCGCGGGCCCCCAGGGCGCCGCGACGAGGCGACTGGAGGGGGCGACGCGCGGGCCCCCAAGGCGCTGCGACGAGGCGACGTGAGGGGGCATTGCGCGGGCCCCCAAGGTGCCGCGACGAGGCGGCGGGAGGGGACGGCGCGCGGGCCCCCAGGGCGCCGCGACAAGGCGACGGTAGGGAGCAACACACGAGCCCCTAGGGCGCCGCGACGAGGCAACGGGAGGGGGGGGGGGCGGCGCGCGGGTCCCTGGGGGCGCCGCGACGGGCGACGAAAAGCAGTGCGCGGGTCCCTGGGGGCGCCGCGACGGGCAGGGCAGGGCGTTGCACGACGAGCAGGGCGGCGCGACGAGCAGAAAACCGCCGCGCGCCCCGAGCGCACTGTAGGAAGAAAAAAACGCCGTGCACCCCGAGCGCGCGGCAGGCAGGAAAGGTCAGCAGCGGAACACGTAGGTGGGCCCATCCACAGGATCGACCCGAGAGGGTCGACCTGCTCTGATAGCATGTCAGAGATAGTAGGCAGAAAGTGGAAAGAGAAAGAGGAAAGGGGCGTTGCACTAGCAAGCAGTTGAGTACATATAGGAAACCCTAAATTGGGCTGTACTCGCTATAGAGTACCCCATTGCAGGCTAGACAAGTACAACATTCTGACACTTGGTAGGTGCGCACATGCGCAGAAGTTCACCTGCCTCTGCGGCGCTGGCAGACCGCTGCTATACTGCGCTGGCAGACTACTCTGCTGCAACGTTGGCAAGCCGCTCTTCTGCTGCGCTGGCATAGTTCGCCTTGCAGAGGGCTTGCTAGGTGTTGTAATGCCATTCTAGCTATATCGACTTGCATGCCTTATTGTAATCTAATGTTCTTTCAATTTCTTAGTGAAGTTCTTGCCATATTTCCTTGTGAACATAGCAAGTAGTGAGAACTCCTAGTGCAACGCTTCGATCATCCGCACAACCCCGTGCCTTCCTCCGTTGTCCACTCCCGTTGTGTAGTGACTCTCCGCATGCAGGGATATCATTCCAGTCCGCTAACCGACTGGGATAAAAGGGCATGTTTTCTTGGTGGGTCAGCACACCCATACCCCCCAGGACGGCCTATAGCCCTTGGGGAGACCACTTTGGGCCGATCCAATGTCCACTTCCAACAACCAGTCCGAAAGTTGCCTTCGCCATCGCGACCTCGACGATGTTCGCGTGCCTCCGCAGAATTCGTCGAGCAAGTTACCTGGTCGACCTGGAAACCACCAGGTGCTCTGGTCGACCACAGCTCCCTTCGAGCTACCCTGTGGTCGACGGACCCCTTCTGTTAACCAGAACTGTAAGTGGTTGTCGCCGAGCTCCCCTCGTCGACCGCTGCGAAGAATGCTATTCTACGGGAGAGCTTGACTATCGTGGGACACACGGTTGGATTTTTTGTAGTGATTCTCAGGAGTGAACTTGGTTGCCTTGGTAGAATTCAAACATAGTTTCACTAAGAAAAGTTGATAGAACAAGATTATGGTACAAGCAAGGAGAACCAAATAACAAAGACAACAAACCACGTAGAAACGTTCCTCGACAAGCACTTGAGTGTGTCGAGTTAGCAACGGCAGGTGAAACGACAAACGCATGCGTGTGTCACCTGAGGTGGTAGTTGCTTAGGTTTACAGCGTTCCTAGTTGTGGACGTTATTACTGTTAATAAAAACGTGTTTCAGGTTTAGTTTCTTATGTCAGAACATTATAGCTTACTCATTTATGTAGGCTATAGTGGGGTATCCCATAGGGGGTACAACCCAGTTAGGGTTTCCTATTTGTACTCACTTCGTTCATAGTTCACCCATTCTCTCGTTCACTTCTTCTCATGGAATCAGAGCAGGTTCCCCTGTGGGAACTGTGCTTCGGGCCCACCACCTAGAACTTTTTTTTTCTGCCCTGGCGCCCGCCCTAGCGCCCGCCCTAGCGCCCGCCCTAGCGCCCGCCCTAGCGCCCGCCCTTTCGAGCCGCCCGTTAGCGCCGCCCGTTAGCGCCGCCCGTTAGCGCCGCCCGTGCGGCTGCCCGTTCGCGCCCCCCCCCCCTTTTGCGCAGCCGGTAGCGCCGCACGTGCGGCCGCCCGTTAGCGCCGCCCGTGCGGCCGCCCGTAGCGCCGCCCGTGAGCCGCCGCCCGTCGCGCCACCCGTTAGCGCCGCCCGTGCGCCGCCGCCCGTGAGCGCCGCCCGTGACGCAGCCGCCCGTGACGCCGCCGCCCGTGACGCCGCCGCCCGTCACGTCGCCCCCCCCCCCCGTGACGCCGCCGCCCGTCCTGCCGCCCGCCCGTCACGCCGCCCGCCCGTGACGCTGCCGCCCGTCACGCCGCCCGCCCGTGAGCCGGCGCTGCTCGCGAACCGCCCACCCGTGGGCCTTCAGCCCGCCCGTGAGCTGCCGACGCCGCCAGTGAGCAGCCGACGCCGCCGACGCCGCCCGTTAGCCGCCGACGCCGCCGACGCCGCCCGTGAGCCGCCGACGCCGCCGACGCCGCCCGTGAGCCGCCGACGCCGCTGTCGCTGCCGCCGCCCGTGAGCCGCCGACGCCGCCGCCGCCGCCCGTGAGCCGCCCTGGCCGCCCGCCCAGCCGCCCGTGAGCTCCCCGCGCGCCGTCCCAGCCGCCCGTGAGCCGCCACCGAGCCGCCCCAGCCGCCCGTGCCGCCGCCCGAGCCGCCTGAGCCGCCCATGCCGCCCGGGCCGCCCGCGCCGCCCTAGCCACCCGAGCCGCCCGAGCCGCCCGAGCCGCCCGAGCTGCCCGAGCCGCCAGAGGAGCTGCACTCCTGCTCCTGCCGGGCTACTGCTGCTCCTGGGCTGTGTACCTGCGCCGCTGACCTACCCGACTCTTCCTGCCCGGTGAGACTGTCAGCTGCTGTCATGGCCACCCCCAATGTCCTAGCTTTTGACGCTGAGGGTAGAGCCATTGACTTTGCAGTCTGGATTGAAGACCTGCAGCTGTACTTACTGTGTGATGCGATCGATGAGGTCTCTCTCTTTGACTTTGTCTCTGGCGCTGTCCCTGCCCCTCCTACTGATGCTGATTCCGCCGTTCGCTCCAAGTGGGCGACCCGCGATGCTGCTGCACGTCTTGCTGTGCGTCGCCACCTCCCTTCCTCCGAGCGTGCCCACTTTAGTCAGTGCAAGACCGCTCAGGCCTTGTACGACGCTGTAGTTGCACGCTACTCCTCCCCTTCCTCCGCTACGCTGAGCCGCCTCATGCTACCTTTTCTCTTCCCTGACCTCGCTGCCTTTCCCACTGTCGCTGACCTCATTACCCACCTCCGCGCTAGTGACGCTCGCTACCGCGCTGCCCTTCCTGCTGAGTTCCGCGCCGCCAACCCTCCTCCCATGTACATCACTCTCTACTTTCTTGTCACCCGTCTTCCTGAGTCCCTTCGTGTCGTTAGGGACTAGTTTCTCTCTGTCTGTCCCACCACCCTCACTGTCGACCTCCTTGAGGAGTCCCTGCTAGCGGCTGAGAAGAGCATAGTCGCTGTAGGGGCCTCTCGGGGTGACCCTCGCACCCCCATCTTTGAGGGGTGTTCTCCTTCCCCCCTGCTGCCCTCTGTCGCCTCTGCCGCTGCGGCCGACCTCGCTGGTTTTGAGTCGGTCGGTGCGGCGTCTGCCCCCAGCGGTAGACGCCGCTCTGGCAAGGGCAAGGGGGTCAAGGGAGCGGGTGGAGCTAGAGGAGGCAGTGGCGGAGGAGGTGGGGGTGGCGGGGGGAGTGGGGGTGGCGGTGGAGGTGGTGGCGGGAGTGGAGGTACTGGTGGAGGCGGTGGAGGCGGAGGTGGCGGCGGAGGCGGTAGCGGAGGAGGCGGGGGCGAGGGTACCGGTGGGGGTGGTGGCGGTGGAGACGAGGGCAGTGGTGGAGGCGGGAGTGGCGGTGGCGGCGGGGGTCGGAGTGGCTCGTCCCAGCGGAGCAGCTCTGGGGGTGGTCAGCGCCAGCAGCAACAGCAGCAGCAACAGCGCTCTCGCACCGTCCCCGCCCCTCAGTAGCTCCGTGAGTGGTACTTGCAGCGTCAACGTGGTGGTGCGTTTGGTCCCTGCCCCTACGTTCTTCGCACCGGCGACCGTGCGGGGGAGAGGTGTGGAGGCACCCACACAGCCCGCCGCTGCTTTGGCCGCCTGACCGACGCCTGGCGTCAGCAGTTTCCGGAGGCCGCTGAGATCCCCCGCTGGGGGGAGCTGTCTAGGGCTGGTGTAGCCATTTATGATCTTGACTTTGATGCTATTCTTTCTGCTCTGTATGCTGTGACTGGTAGTGATGAGGATGACTGTTACCGGTGTTTCCCGCCCGACCCGGGCATTGGTACTGCTGCGTCAGGTACTAGTGAGGCTGCTGCTCTAGGTGCCAGTGCGTCTGTGCTCTCAGGTACTTGTGAGTCTGCCCTCTCAGGTACTGTGTCGGCTTCGGCCTCTCACACCTTCACACTTGACTCTGGAGCGTCTCGCTCCTTCTTTCGGGACCGCACTACTCTCACGCCGCTGAGTCGGCCGGTTGCGGTGTCCCTGGCTGACCCCTCTGGGGGGCCTGTCCTGTCTCGCTTCTCCACGGTACTTCCGTGTCCGGCGGCCCCCTCTGGCACCCTGTCTGGTCTCTACCTCCCCTCGTTCTCGACGAACCTGGTGAGTGGTGCTGACCTACAGGATGCGGGTGTCCACCAGTTCACTCCTGCTCGTCAGCGGGTGACCCACTGCACGGAGGCTAGCACGGGACGCCACCTGGCTACGTTTACACGTCGGCCAGGGTCGAGCCTGTACACACTGACCACTGCTTCTCCTCCAGGTACTGAGTCTCGTAGGGTCCCTTCGTCTAGTCAGGTGTTTGCCGCAGCGTCCAGGTCTGGTCCTGAGTCTTCCCCCTGTTCGTGTCGTCGTCTGTCTCACGAGACCCTCCTCTGGCACCACCGCCTTGGCCACCCCTCTCTGCTTCAGCTCAGAGGCATGGCCTCCCGTCTTCTTGTGTCTGGTCTCCCCCGGTCTCTACCTCCCCTTCCTCAGGGCCCTGGCCCTGCCTGTGTCCCCTGTGTCGAGGGGCGCCAGCGTGCTGCCCCTCACTCCTCCCAGTTTCCTCCGACAGAGGCCCCGCTGCAGATGCTTCACATGGACGTGTGGGGCCCAGCCCGCGTCCGTGGACAGGGTCAGGAGCGCTACTTCCTGCTCGTTGTTGACGACTACTCGCGTTACACCACAGTCTTCCCCTTGCGCAGCAAGGGTGAGGTTACTGAGGTGCTGATCGACTGGATCCGCGCAGCTCGTCTTCAGCTCAGGCAGAGCTTTGGCTCCGACTTTCCTGTGTTGCGTCTGCACTCTTACAGAGGCGGAGAGTTCTCCTCTCGCCTTCTGCGTGCCTACTGTCGGGCGCGAGGCATCCGCCAGTCCTTCACGCTTCCGGACTCCCCGCAGCAAAATGGGATTGCAGAGCGCCGCATTGGCATGGTCATGGACGTCGCCCGTACGTCCATGATGCATGCGGCTGCCCCCCATTTTCTGTGGCCGTTTGCGGTCAGGTACGCAGCGCATCAGATCAACCTCCACCCCAGGGTCTCCAGGCCGGAGACCTCCCCAGCCCTGCTGTGGACGGGGAAGGTTGGCGATGCGTCGGCGTTCCGGGTCTGGGGATCTCGGGCGTTTGTCCGCGACTTGTCTGCGGACAAGCTGTCCCCTCGCGCTGCTCCCTGCGTCTTCCTAGGGTTCCCCCCCGACGCCCCTGGGTGGCAGTTCTACCACCCCTCCTCTCGACGTGTTCTGTCCTCCCAGGACGTCACGTTCGACGAGTCGGTACCCTACTACCGCCTCTTCCCCTACCGCACTCCGTCCCTCCCCCCACCCCCGCTCTTCTTGGTACCAGGTCCCCCCCCGGTAGTCCCCCTCCCCCCTCAGGGTCCTGCCCCTTCAAGTGTGTCCCAGGTAGACGCGGTCGAGCCTGTCGAGGTCACTGGTGACTCTGGTGCTGCTGCGGGAGCTGAGCCTGGGGGTGCGGAGTCTGGGGGTGCTGAGCCTGGGGGTGCTGAGCCTGGGGGTGCTGAGCCTGGAGGTGCTGAGCCTGGGGGTGCTGTGCCTGGGGGTGCTGAGCCTGGAGGTGCCGAGCCTGGGGGTGCTGTGCCTGGGAGTGCTGTGCCTAGGGGTGCTGAGCCTGGGGGTGCTGAGCCTGGGGGTGCTTCGTCTCGCCGGGAGCCACTCTCCCCACAGGAGCTGCGTGAGTGGTTTGCCAGGCGCTGGAGGCGTGCTGCTGGTGCTGGTGGTTCTTCGGCTGCAGAGGGTACTGCTGCCGCGCGTCCCGGCGGTGCTCGTCCTGTGGGTGCTGGAGCTGCTGGGTCTGCGAGTTCTCCTGGAGCTGGTGCTGCTGAGGGTGTTGGCGCTGAGCCTGCCGTTGGCGGTCCGACTGACAGTGCTCCTTGTGCTGCTGCTGGAGGTTCTGAAGCTTCTGGTGGTGCTGCTGGAGGTGCTACTGGAGTGGGTGCTCCTGCCGGGGGTGCTGGTGCTGTTCCTGCTGTTTCAAGCAACGCCGCGCGGCCCCGACCATACTTCGTTCCGCTCCTGCAGCAGGTTCTTGGTCTTCCACCTCCTCCTCCTCCCTTAGAGGGTCCGCAGCCTGTCCGGTCACAGCCACAGCTACAGCCTGCCTCCCCTTTGCCTGCTCCTTCTCCCTACGTTGGTCCGACTGGAGGTCTTACTGAGCGTCGTGAGCCTGCGTCTCGTCCTGCGTCGCCTGTTCGTACTGAGCGCGCTAGTGGTCGCGGGTCGCGTCAGCGTCCTCCTCCTGTCCCTGGCACGCACCGGATGTCACTGCGTCCGTCCACTGCTCCTCTGCGTGCCCCTTTGCCTTCTCCTCCTGCTTCCTCTCTTCCTGCTCTTGCCGACCCGGAGTCGGACTCTCTTCGTGCTGCCAGTCCTACTGTCACGCGTCTCCTTGCTACTGCTGTCACTGACCCTTCCTTCGAGTCGTCTGCTGCGTCTGCCCTTGTCACTGAGCTTGTCGACTTTGCTGCGCGCTGTCGTCTAGACTACGCTGCCAGTCTTATCGCTACGTCTGAGTCTGCCTGTCCTCCGTCCGTCGGGGGTGAGTGTGCCCTCGGCACGGACGTCCTTGAGGACAGGCAGGAGGAGTTCCAGTGTCTGGCCGCCGCTTCACCCCATCTCGCGTCTGTACTGCTAGCCCCTGAGGGAGACCCGGATGCACCAGACATCCCGACTCCGCGCTCTTACGCGGAGGCGATAGAGGGTCCCTACTCCTCTCAGTGGCAGGCAGCTATGGATGCAGAGATGGCTTCCTGGAAGTCCACAGGCACCTACGTCGACGCTGTCCCCCCTCCTGGGGCGAACATCGTCAGTGGCATGTGGATTTTCAGGGTGAAGCGGCCGCCGGGTTCTCCGCCTGTCTTCAAGGCGCGTTACGTGGCTCGTGGCTTCAGTCAGCGGCAGGGGGTTGACTACTTTCAGACCTTCTCCCCCACCCCGAAGATGACCACTCTTCGGGTTCTGCTGCACGTTGCTGCTCACCGTGACTACGAGCTGCAATCTCTCGACTTCAGCACAGCTTTCTTGCAGGGCAGCCTGCACGAGGAGATCTGGCTGCGCCGCCCACCTTGCTTCACTGGGTCTTTCCCTCCTGGTACCCAGTGGAGTCTCCGGCGTCCAGTCTACGGTCTCCGCCAGGCGCCACGTGAGTGGCACGACACACTGAGGACTACGCTCGCGGCACTTGGGTTTGCTCCGTCTACTGCCGACCCGTCGCTGTTTCTGCGCACCGACACCTCTCTGCCGCCGTTCTACATCCTCGTGTACGTCGACGACTTGGTCTTTGCCACAGCTGACACTACTGGACTCGCCTACGTGAAGTCCGAGCTGCAGAAGAGACATACGTGCACTGACCTGGGTGAACTGCGTAGCTACCTTGGCTTGCAGATCACCCGGGACAGAGCGCGCCGCACCATTACCCTGACTCAGTCACACATGGTGCAGCAGGTCCTTCAGCGCTTCGGCTTCACGTACTCCTCGCCTTAGGCCACTCCTCTGCCTACTCGCCACTCGCTCTCAGCTCTGCCTTCGGATGAGTCCGTAGAGTCGAGTGGCCCGTTTGCAGAGCTTGTTGGCTGCCTCATGTACCTGATGACCTGCACACGTCCTGACCTTGCATACCCTCTTAGCATTCTCGCACGCTATGTTGCTCCTGGGAGACACCGACCAGAGCACATGGCTGCAGCGAAGAGGGTGTTGCGCTACTTGTGCAGTACGTTGGGCATGGGGCTAGTGCTTGGAGGGTGCAGTCCAGTGGTCCTCACTGGGCACGCAGACGCTTCTTGGGCTGACGACCAGGCTACGCAGCGGTCGTCACAGGGTTACACCTTCAGCCTTGGTTCCGGCTCTGTTTCGTGGCGGGCTACTCGCTCGTCTTCTGTTCTCGGCTCCAGTTGTGAGGCTGAGATCTACGCTGGGGCTATGGCTGCACAGGAGTTACGCTGGCTCACCTACCTGCTGACCGACCTTGGAGAGCAGCCTCGTTCTCCTCCAGTCCTGTACGTAGACAACAAGGCCATGCTGGCCTTGTGTCGAGAGTAGCGACTGGAGCACAGAACGAAGCACATTGCCCTCCGCTACTTTCTTGCTCGTGAGCTGCAGCAGCGTGGACAGTTGCGACTTGCGTACGTGGCCTCTGAGGCCAACACTGCTGATGTCTTCACTAAGGCACTTGCGCCTTGTGATCATCAGCGTTGTTGCACGCAGTTGGGTCTTGTGTCTGTCTTGCCTCACTTGCTCACTTCTTGACATTGCTTGTACCTTCACCTATATATACTCTTGCTCTTACTTGCTTGACTCTTGTATATCTTTATATATGATCTTGCATGTGAACTGGCCTTCTGGCCTTTTGAACTTGTGCTCGGAATGTGTGGTGACTTTGTGATCCACCCTGAGCTTTGCTTTGCTTTGCTTGACTGGTCTTGTGACCCCTTTATCTCCCCCACTTTGCCTATGGGGGTGTGTCAGAACATTATAGCTTACTCATTTATGTAGGCTATAGTGGGGTATCCCATAGGGGGTACAACCCAGTTAGGGTTTCCTATTTGTACTCACTTCGTTCATAGTTCACCCATTTTCTCGTTCACTTCTTCTCATCTTACTGAATTGAATTCTCTTGGGGGGTACAATTCCCAAAATTACCTGATTGGTCGAAATTTGCTGCTTCGTGATTGGGCGAAATTGGCGCAAATTGCGAATTTTTGAGCTAAGTAATTCTGGTCGACCAGAATCGCTCTGCTCCACGAAACATTCGTCGAACAAAATTCTGTCGAGCAGCAATCTGTCGAAACACCTAAGAGAAACACCAATTCTGTTTATTCCAACTATCAGAAAGGCTCGTCTTCGACGCCGTTTTACTCCCGTCGATGAGCTCCTCCTAGACGAGGACTTTGATCGAGCAGAGGAAACAATTCTACCTCGACCTATGAATCTCGTCGAAAAATGACTCGTCGCACATAGATAAAATTCCCCGAAGTCGTCGATGACCACGAAATGAACACCGTTCTATTCCGAAATGCCTGGTCGACTTCGCCCAAGCGAGGGGGGGGCCTTTTTCTCTTCGACAACCGCTGCTCACTTTCCGGTCGACGGACTGCTCCGTCGACCTTCCGGTCAAGCTGCAGGGTGATGGACTGCTCCTTCGGCCTCCCGGTCGAGCTGCAGGTCGACGGACTGCTCCGTCGACCTCCCAGTCAAACTGCCCCTCCTGGTTGATGACCCACCTGTCGCCCCGACCAGTCAGTTGTAGCTGTGGAGCTCCCTGGTCGACAGCAACACCACAGCAGTCCCCTGCAGCTCGACGAAGCCTGTCGAGCAGCTCTCCCACCGTAAACGGTCGGCTGCTACTTCAGCACACCTGACCAAGTCGGCGGCGTTGCTCAAGCGAGGGCGGGGCCAATAGTCCATTCCCGTTAACACTCCCCTGCCGCGCTCACGCTTGCGGCTACAGCCCACATGACAGTACTCCACGGAGAATACTCATACTCGGCGTGCACCCCACACACAGCACGCCGTCACCGCACTAGCGGTGCACAGAGGCACGCCACCTACTGGTGCACCTCATCGTCGCCGTCGCCGACGTCGGCCAGGCGAACTTGGCCGATGGCGACAGAGCACCAGTTGAAAGCCGGAAAATGCGATGCCTTCGTTAGGAAGTGAGCCGGCTGCTCGATGGTCGGGATGTACTTCAGCACGAACTTCACGCGCCTCACCATGTACTGCAACCAAGCATAGCGTCGCTCGATGTGCTTGAGGTTGCCCATCAGCCCCAAGCCCTTAGCGACCGTGATTGCCGACTTGTTGTCGACAGAGAGGACGATCGGCTTCCCAGCGTCGAACAGCTTGAATACTGCAAGGCTGAAGTGAAGTCGACGCCCCTCCTTGCCGACGTCCGTGGCTGCGACGTACTCCGACTCGGTCGAGAAGAGCATCGCGCACTTGATGCACTGGCTCGACCAGGAGACCGCGGCCCCTCCGAAGACGAACAACATAGCCACTCGTGCTCGTCCGCTTCTGATTGTCGCCCGCGTCGTCGGCGTCTACGTAGCCGATCAGCTCCAGCGACTCTGGTGCACCGCCGAACTCCAGGGCGGTGTCGCGGGTGTCAGCGAGGTAGGTGAGGTAGTGGTCGACCTCACGCCAATGCTGGTTGCTCCTCACTATGAGGCCACTCCCCAGCTTGCTGCTGGCAAACGCAATGTCTGGCCTCGTCGTCATCGCCGTGAACTGCAGCGAGCCGACCTTCTGCCGGTACTCCTCCTCCTCGCGCTCCTGCGTCTCCTCGTCGTCGAACGTCAGCTCAACGTAGGTACTTCACCACTGGCGAGAACTTAAGCAGCTGAAAGGCGGCCTCCGGAAGCTCCTTCAGCTCCTTCAGCATTGCGATGCTGCTGCTTGTGACGAGCAGGTTGTCGACGTTGACCAGCACCCGGCAGGTCACTCTGTCATCACCGGATTTGAAGTAGAGTGCCTCGTCGACCTGGCTTTTCTTCCAGCCAGCGCCCAGCAGCACACATTCGAGAGCCCTGTACCACAGCAGGGACGACTGCTTCAGCTCGTAGAGGCGCTTCATCAGCTTACACACCCGACCGGTCCCATCGTCGAAGTAGTCGTGCTGGTACATGTAGAGCACCCTATCGAGCTTGCTCTGCAGGAAAGCATTCTTCATGTCGAGCTGCATCAGGTTGAGGTCCAGGACGGCGATGATGCTGAGGAAGATCTGCAGCGTGACGTAGCTACTCACCGGCGCATACGTCTCGTCGTAGTCGGCGCCATACACCTGTGTGAAGCCTTTCACGACCAGCCTCGCCTTCTCGCGCTCGATGGTGTCGTCGATGCGGTACTTGGTCGTCAACACTCATCGGTTCTTCATGATGTTCACCCCGCGGGGGCGTTCGACCAGATCCCAAGTGCCCATGCTGATGAGGGTGCGAATCTCTTCTTCCATGGTGGCCTTCACCACCTCGTCCTTCCAGCTCGCCAACGCCTCCTTCACCGTCATCGTGGCAATGTCCCAGCGGTGTTCGGGGTCAGCATGCACGTCGGGGTCGAGCTCCGGCAGTTCTTCATCCTCTTCGGCGACGTCATACAACAGGTCGTCGTTGATCTCGTCGTACACTGTGGTGAAGGCAGCTGGCGATAGACAGGCGCGGAAGCTCAGCCGCTCCGGCGGCCGTCGAGCTCGACCTGTGCGGTCACAGCTCAGGCTTCGTGATCGGCACCTCCATCACGCCGCTGTCGGTGGACTCTTCACCCGCCGACTGCTCCCATTCCTTCTCGACATCCTCATCGTTGACCTGCTGCTTCGATCCTTCGACAGGCTGCTCACCACCTGCTGTCTTCGACCGCTCCCCTGTCGACCGCCACGGCTGCTGCTCCCCTGTCAACTGCACCCCTGCTGCTGCCTCTTGTTCGGCAGGCTCCCCTGTCTATTGCTCCCATGTCGTCGACGCCTTTCCAGCCTTGTGAGAGTACGACGGCTTTGCTGGACTTTACTTGCTTGATCATGCTTTATTATGCATTTTTTAGCTTAGCTTTATTTTGCTTTGCTTGATTTTGCTAGATTTCCTAGGTTCGTTGCTTTACTATACTTATTATAGTTATAGGCACCGAACCAGGTCGAGTGCACTGAATTCTAGGCTTTTCGGTTGCCACCGAATTGCCTTCCACCGAATTCGGAAAGGACCCGTTCGGGACGCTTCGCGACCCGTGAAACGTACTAATAACACCCAGGTTACTGCCATTGTCTCGAGCCTATATATAGCCTCGCCTTGTATCCAGGTAATCTTTCAATAGATTATCCTTCCTGAACCAGATCCTCACACTGGGTTCTTAGAGCGGGTTTACACGCGATGTCTTTAACCGTTTAGTTCCGTCCTTTCAAAACCGCAGGGGCGACAATGAAAGTGCCGATACGGATAGGTAAAACCATTTCCGCGCAATCTTTCTTAGGCCCCCTCGATTCGGTTTTCGAACACCCCTCAGATTTATTGGTGAATTAGTTGGAGTTTCGACCGTCAGATCGATTTCAATCCCCAGAGCCTAGAGAATTTCGCCAAAAAGGTTTGAAATTACAACCGTCAGATCGAGTTTTTCCTCAACGGCCGAGATTGGACGCGAATTTCAGCCACGAGAGATTCACGCAACCTAC